TCCATCTACTCTAACTTGGTATAATATGTAGTATCTTAGTATCTACTCAACTGTGCTTGGCATATAAGATGAAAAAGTAGATTTTTTTTTCCATGTCAGGGCTTAAAAAGTACGTGATTTGCATGTAACAATAGCTGGGTATATATAATAACCTAGCCTAACTTATGCAATTTTAGAGATTAGAATCATTATTGGTAGATTAATTGGAATTAATATTTGTAGATTAGTGTCAGAGATTGAGGTGGTATGCTGGTATTAACTTGGCTTAATCGATGTCCCTCCATATGAAGGCAGTTGATATTTGTTCAATTTGGTATCCAAGGGGTAAGAAGTGTCTCAAAGATCTCCGTGAGATTGTTTGTAGAGTAGTTAGATAAATTATTTGCAACTTTATAGCTCAGACCGTATTAGTAGAAACGTCCCCATATGATAGACTTCATTTTTTTTTTCATTTTTTGAAGACTAAGGAGATGTTTGGTTCAATTTCTACAAATTATAGTAAATGGTTTTCATCCAAAATATGATTTCCTTGTATTTTTTAAAAAAATTATAGAAAATTTTTTTGAAGTCAAAAGTATTAATTTTTTTTTTTACTTTGTTTGTTTGGTTCAAAACAAGAAAATGTCTCATAACTTTATAGAAAATAGCAAGATTTTCTATAATTTGTAGAAATTGAACCAAACACCCTCTAAATTTATAGAAAAGTGTCAATGTGGTGTCAGATTTCTGGGTGATTTCTGGATAAAAATAATATTTTAATAAAAAAATTACAAAGATTTCCTTTTCTTAAATTTTAGAAAACCAACCAAACAGCCCCCTTAAGGCCCCCAAATCCAGTACCCCAATTCCATCCATCGATCGATCTAGGGTTTCCTTTTGGTCCTTGTAGCTGTTCTCTCCGCCCGATTCTTCTTCTCTATTTCGCTCTTTTGTCCGCCGAGGAGAAGAAGGGTTCGGATCCCTGCTCCCTGCTCAAATTCGACTAATTTATTATTGACTGTGAGTTTTCTTCTCGATCTATTTTTCAAATTTTTTTTTTGTTCATTAAGTTAGGGTTCTGTTCCTTTGATGTTTGATTGTTGTGGGGATGATGGCATGCTATTTGCATTTGGACCCAAAAGCGAGAGCCTAGTACTATTAAAAGTAGTAATTAAGGTTATGAAAATCCTAGTGGGACCCACAAGCGAGAGCCCAGTAATTAAGGTTATGAAAATCTTACTTAAAAAAAAAAAAGTTAATGGAAGTCTTTTCCTACTGGGACTAGGTTCTTCGAATCTGCATAAAAGGGCCGGTTAGGGCAGAGAGAAATTGAGGGAGGAGGCGAGTTAAGGAGTCGCCAAAGGATCCAGGTTTGTTTTCATTTCATTTTATTTTTTCCTCTTATTTTATTTATGCAATCTGCGACCTTTTGATATTTTGCGTTCTCCCCAAATTGCCGTGGGAAAATTTAATAGATCAATCACTGAGAAAACTGTAGGAACTAATTCACCTTCGCACTCTGGACCTAAAGGATTATAGTACCGAAACAGATGCCATGAAAATCAAAATTTGTATGCATACATATTTCTCCTATTTTTTATGAGAAAATACCCTGTACACAGCACATCATTAATGAGATTTGGTGGAATTTACATGCATGATCCACATGGCACGGTGGATGGACGACGCCCATATGCTTATTGAAATATTATCATCGACATAATGATGCATTTCTCTTGTATTATGTATCAACGTACTCAGGGGCGGATCCAGAATTTTAGTTCTGGGGGGACCGCCTACAAAAGATAGATAAAAAATTTTCTTAATGTAATTTTATTCACAAGAGGTATACCACAACCCAAATAAAACAAGTAGAATAGCCAACATCAATATCTCCAAAAAATTTCAAAAGAGGAAGACAAATATTATATAGAAAATAGTCAAATAAGCATCATCTATTTTTTTTATAACTAAAATTTTTCTAACTAAAAGGAATTCGACGTTCCTTAAAATTTTCAAAGTCGTCAATGATAGCATCAATGCTCAGACTTTTAGCAATTTCTCTTTCAATAAACACCATTAATGCATCGGAGAGGAAAGCATCATCTATTTTGCTTCGAAGTCTAGTCTTGACGATATTCATAGTTGAGAATGATCGTTCTACAGTAGCAGTAGAAATTGGAAGAGTAAGCACAAGTACGATCACTCTAAAAATAAGGTCGTATGTAGCAGATTTATTAGTCTTTACCAACCATTGACACAACTCAGAAATGGTTGAAAGAGTTTTGAAGTCTGACCCTTTGATTACGTTATGCTCATAATGTTTCAGTTGCATCTTCAAACTCTCTTTTTCTTCACTTGTAAAATCTTGTGCATAAAACTTGCCAACCAATTTGCATATATCTTGTATTCTCAAAGCCGCAGATGCATTTTGAGGATTTAAGGCAGAACTAAGCATGAGCAATTCTGCCGCATCTTCACTAAAACGCACATTAATTTCTTGCATTTATGAATCGATCGCGTCATAAAAAAGTCTACTCGATAATGAAGCCCAATGGTGATGTCTTGATGACCACAAGCTCGACGTTGTCTATCAACATACTGAGCACTAAAATCAGGAATATTAATGTTACGAGCCACACAAAAAGACTTCACTTTTTCAAGCAAATTATCCCACTTGTCATCCCTTAACTCTTGTAGTAATCTTTTTGTAGATGACACAAGCTCCATTGCATTCGAAATGTCTTGAGACTTTCTTTGTAAAGTTTGGCAAAGAAAGTCTGTGATCCCCATAATCTCACTCATTAGATGCAAGATAAATACAAAATCGAACGAAGTCATTTCATCATAAACAGATGTTGCATCGGCTCGTTGGAAAGGAAGTCCATCCTCCATAACTTTGAGCAACACCGCACATGCTGCACTGAACATCCTGATCAAACTTGATAATGATCTGAAATGAGAACTCCAACGCGTATCAGCAGCTTGTTATAAAGTGCCGATCTGATTAAGTCCAGGCCCTGTCTCGAGTTCATTAATAGAAATCAAATGGGCAATGTCATCCGCGTGAGCTTTCTTCAATTCATCATTACGCTTGCAAGAAGTACCAACCATATTAACTATAGAAATTAATTTATCAAAAACATATGAATGGGAGTCAGATTTTTTGCTGCCGCAACAAGAGCCAATTGTAGCCGATCGATGAGCAAAGCAATGAACATAGTAAGCAGTCTTACAATCTTTCATAATCTAAGCTTGCAATCCATTGAATTCACCCCTCATATTATTGGCCCCATCGTAACCTTGACCTCTAATATTTTGAACATCCAAATTGTAATGAGCCAAAGCAGAATATATGGTGTTCTTTAAAGTCAAAGCTGCAGTATCGGAAACAAGAACAAGCCAAAAAAAACGTTCTTGAATGAATCCATTAGTGTCCACAAACCGCAACAATAAACATTTGCTCTTTTTTTGACTCATCACGGGCTTCATCAACAATAATGCAATACTTAGCAACTCCAATTTCTTCACGAATTGCATTTTTCAATCTCACTAAAAACACATGAAGTATTTGTTTTTGAATATCATGACTTGCATATTTGGCATTTTTGGGAGCTTTCGCAATTGCCTTTGAAAGTTCGTCATTCTCCATGGCTAGCACATCCAAAAATTCAAGAAAATTGCCACGATTAGACGAACTAGATTTCTCATCGTGGCCTCTAAACAGAATCTCTTGGAGTGCAAGCAATCGCACCACAAGTATGTGAGCTCTTAACCGAAGACGATTTGTTGCAACTTGTTCAGCATTGAAGTTGTCGAATCGCCTTGATATATGTTGCGGTTGGTTCATCAAATCCTCACATGCCTTTTCAGCATTACGATGGAATGAAAATACATTATCTTTTCCTATTTCAATGAAACCCCCTTTATTAATCCCTTAAGAATAACCCCCTTTATTAATAAACCCCCTTAAGAATAACCATTCACTAAATACCTCTCCATAAATTTCCAATTTCAATGAAACCCCCTTTATTAATCTTGTTGTTGCTCATGGTAATGTATTTACTATGAATATATACATAAAACACCTCAAATAATTAATATTCACAAACTAATCCCCCCCAATTAGGAATAGAGCACCCTAATTTTTTTCCCCAAACTTTGGGGGGGCCGTGGCCCCCCTGGACTGTATGTAGATCCTCCCCTGAACGTACTCTGTTATGTTAATGGTCTATACGGTAGTATTGTATTCTATTTTGCTCCAGTTGAGATATTGAAATTAAATCTTCCTTACCAGTTTTAAAAAGGGAAAATTGCTTCTAGCCCCCAATTTTCTTACAAGTATTCCGCCCCCAAGACTTTTTCAACACTCCCAAACCCCCCAAAAGTAAAGTCACAATTCTCTGAGCCCCAAAATACAAAACCCAAGAGTTTAAAACATGTGAAAACCATAATACACTTTCTCTCTCTCTTCATGATGTCACTGTGATGATTTGAAATGGGTTTTGAGAGAAAAAATTCTAGTTCCCTCCAATAATTTTCAACGGTGTTGACATAGGTAATGAAACTTTCCCTTGAGAGAAAAAATTCTAGTTCCCTCCAATAATTTTCAACGGTGTTGACATAGGTAATGAAACTTTCCCTGCGTTCGTTTACAAGGTGAAAGAAAACTTTGATCTTGAAGACGGTGATGACGAGTTGTGATGGATTTAGCGTCGCCGTTCTGAAGAAAAAAGTTAGAGCTCTGGCGACCCCCAGTGTAATTTTTTTCTTTTTTAACTTATACTTAAACTTGAGTGCTATATTTTTTTTGTTATTTTGCATATTGTTATAATTTTTTTGGAATCGATGAGTTTAGATTAAAGTAGAGTCTGTAAATTTACATATTGTTGTTATTTTACTGTAGTAAATTTGTTGTTAAGGTTATGAGTTCGTTCTGAAAGAAGATTACATGTTGGTTTTAAAGGTTACGAGTTGGTTGTGAAGTTTACGAGTTGGTTGTCAAAGTTACGAGTTGGTTGTTAATGTTAGGAGTTAGTTGTGCAGATTACGAGTTGGAAAGAGTTGGTTTTGAAGGATAGTTAACAACAATCACAATCAGCTCATTGCTGAGGTTAACAACCAACTCATAGCCTTCACAATCAACTCATAACCTTCACATCCAACTCGTAACTCGTAAACTTCACAACGAACTCGTAATCTTCAAAATCAACACATAATTTTCCTTCATAACCAACTAATAAACTTAACAACAAACTCATTACAGTGAAATAACAACAATATATAAATTTATAGACTCTACTTTAATCTCAAGTCATCAATTTCAAAAAAAATTACAACATTAAAATCTAGCCTAATAGAGAAAAATGTGTGTTATTGCCTCTATAAATATGAGAGAGTTCTTGATTGCAAATCAATTTAGGGGTTTTGAATTATATTAGACTCTCTTGTGTTAGAACCCAACAATATACCGTCTTTTTTTTTAGATGTGAAGGATGGAGAGTCGGAGAATGAGCCTCCAACCGCCTTTAATTCCCTAAAGAAGGATTGATTACAGAGTCACTTGCTACATCCCAACCCTAGGATGCAGCCAACCATGGTTACAAAAAAATATGTACCCATAACTATCCTGACGCACGACCGTCCCATTATATGTACAGGCTAGTTAAGCAAGCAGCTCAAAAAACACAGGAAAAAAACAACTTGTAACCTTCACAACCAACTCCTTACCGAGTTCCACAACCAACGTGTAACTTTCACAACCAACTCGTAACCATCACAACCAACTCGTAACCATCACAATCAACTCGTAATCTTGACAATCAACTCGTAACCTTGACAACCAACTCTTAATCTTGACAACCAACTTATAACATTGACAACCAACTCGTAAACTTCACAACCAACTCCTAACCTTAACAACAAACTCATTAACAATAATATATAAATTTGTATACTCTAATATAATCTCAAGTCATCAATTTTAAAAAAATTATAACAATATGTAAATTAGCCCAAAAAATAGTACTCAGATTCAAGTACAAGTTAAAAAAGGGAAAATTATACTGGGAGTCGTCGGAGTTCCTGCCTTTTTCTTCGAAACGGCGACGCTGAATCCATCGCAACTTGTCATCACAGTATTCAAGATTGTAGTTTTCTTCACCTCGTGAACGAACGTTGGGAAAGTTTCATCGCTAATGTTGACGCTGTTGGAAAATATTGGAGGGAATTAGAATTTTTTCCCCAAAAACCCATTTTAAATCATCACAATGACATCATGAAAAAGAGAGAGAAAGGGAGAGAAAGGGTATTATGGTCTTCACATGTTTTAAACTCTTTGGTTTTGTGTTTGGGGGATAGTTGTTATTTTGGGATTTTCCCTTTAAAAAAATATGTCTCCTATTGTTTTTTTAAATTTTATGTGATACATTACACGATATTTAGTTAGACAAAATATAAGGGTTTTTATAGATATTGGTACATTAGATCTTTCATATTTTCCAGTTAGCCCTCATATTATTAAAATTTTATTTAGTCCTCAAATTCATATAATTAGTTACTCCAGATTAGCGCCTATGTTAGTTTTTACGTCCAACTTCAAACTCTGGTGCTGTCAGTGATTAACCCAATACCGTATGTTTATCGTCTCGATTTGCTCATCTGCAATATGTAATTATGACACCCGACCTTCATCATAGTTTCAGGTAGTGTAGTAGAAGAGGCTTTAAGTTGATATTAGAGCAATTCAAATCTTAAATATGCTTATCTGAAAACATTAAAAAATGAACATTACTAACTAAAAAAAGTAGTTTTCTGATCATGGAAATGACACTTAATATGCCAAGACGTCTGTTTAGTTTCCATGTCATTTTCCACTCATTCTAACCCGTTCTTTTCTCACAACCTTCTTCAAGTCTGAAAACTAGGGAAGATTGATCATACATAAGTATCCAACTTGACTATTCAGTTTCTACTTTCTGGCTTGAATAATATTTTTATATTTTGTTTAGACGTTAAGCAATTTCAACTAACATCTGAAGTTTTTTGCTAGCAGGAACATGGAGGAATCGATGACTGTCATCCATAATTGTAGGCGCAAGAGAATAGCAACTGAAGATCAGGAACGAAAGAGAAAAAGAACTGATGGCATCAATAACTTAACTGACGACACATTATGCTACATCCTGTCGTTCTTGTCTACGAAAGAAGCAACTAGAACCAGCATTTTATCGAAAAGGTGGAAGAATATATGGAAATCTACTGGAAGCATCAAACTGGATATAGATGAAGTGTTGGGAGTCTTCCCTCATGTTAATACTACACCAAATCAAAGGGCTGAGGAGTTCTTCAGAGTGGTTACTAAATGTCTTTGTGAAAATTTTAATCCCCTTACCAAGACTCTTCATCTTCATCTATGCTCGGTCCTCCCTGATGCACATGTGCTATATTACTGGTTTAGCTTGATGATGCGCAGCCATCTCGACAACCTTGTTCTCGACTTCAGTGGTGCTCCCAGACATTGTCCTATTCCATATAATCTTCTATTTCCTAAAGGTGATGAATTAAGATTGAAGAGTTTGAGCCTCACACATTGTGATATCTTGAGACCGTTGAACACCGTTTCAAATCATTATTGCAGCTCCCTTGTGTCACTAGCTTTATCAGACGTGATCCTTCCGAAAAATTTTATAGACTTCATTGCTAGTTATCCCTTGCTGAGATGTCTCACTATTCAGGACTGTAGCATCGAAAATATGGAGATGAAGATTCTGTGTGGTGGATTCAAGCCTCTTAGAGTGCTTGGGTTGAGGTGTATGAAACTCACGCAAGAACTTGTAGACAATCTTTTGACAAATTTTTCTCTCCTAGAACAACTATCTTTAGATGATTGTGCTATTATGCCCTTCGATTCGTCCCCTCTTGAAATACGCGGACCTATCAATCTCAACTGTCTGGAAGTATCCAAATGTCGTGGTCTAAAGGAGCTACGGGTATTTGCCACACGTCTTGAGAGATTTGCACTTATTTCAAAGGATGGCATGGATCTCCTTCCAAGAGTCACTTTTAAGCTCTTAGACGATGATTGCAGTGATTTTTCTTCCATACAGGGAAAAGGATCGCTATTGAGGCAATTGGAACTACAGTGCATCGAATTTTCGATTGATTTACCACAATTTAGCTGTCTAGAGACAGTCAGATTAGAACAAGTGCATCTCGAAGAGGAATACATAACAGTTCTTTTGTCCAACTGTTTACTCCTCGAGAAGCTAAGCATCATAAAGTGTGACGGTTTGCCCCTTCTTAGCATCATCGGGCCTTCACTACAACTCAAGCAACTGACAGTATGTTGGTGCAATCACTTGAAGAAATTGGAGATATGTGAGATGAATCTTGTTCAATTGGAATATCATGGCGAGTTGATAGTTTTCTCTTTGAGGGAAGTTTCGCACTTGGTAAGCGTGGAGATGGAAATTGATACAGATGATGATAACTCACTGATTCATGTCCTCACAATACTGTCTAGAGATGTACCACGGCTGGAGACTTTGATCTTCTATATTGAGGTGAGGGAAACAAAAGATATATACATGAGCACACTTTTTTACATGTTTTTTTATAGTAATGCTTATTTACAGCTAATAAGTTTGTGCGTTTGAAATTAGGGTGGAAAAGTACCTGAGAGTTTCCCTGTGTTCTACACTCTAAAGCATTTGGTGCTCTTTTTGGGCCGATACGTGAAGGTCACAAAGGAATTTTCATGGGCTACTAATTTCTTGGCTACCTCGCCTCTCTTGGAAATTTTTCAATTGCAAGTATGTAGAAATCTTTTCTTTTCTTATCTCTCAAGAAAATATCAAAAGATAAATTTTGTTTACAAATTTCTTCAAGGGCAGCACATATGTTCTTAGATATTAGCTGTCTTGTTATGTCTTATTCCATGTTGACTTTCACAGATTTTCTGTTCTTTTAAAATTATCTACGATCAGTTGACGATTGGTGTTCCCTTTTTGTCCCCTTTTGACTTGCAGCTATCACGTTGTTTGCTTGAGGACCCAATACTGAGAACAGATAAACCAACGCTGTCTGCTGCTTGGCAATTTACAAACCAATACCTAAAGGAAATTGAATTGTTGGGATTTAGGGGCGATGATAAGGAAATAGAGTTTGCTTGCAATTTGCTTCAAAATGCCAAGTCGTCGTTGAAGATGATGAAGATTGATGGGGGATCGAAGCATAGAGCTGGGTCGCACACGGCAGCACCTCCAGCGGAATGGGTACAAAGCGGGCGACAAAAGTCACTGAAGGAAATCAAGAGCAGGATTGATGCCGTGCCGGTTAGTGTTGAGTTAGTAATCCTATGAATCCTATGTTTTCCTATGTCCTATATATTTTTTTTATATATAGGCCTGTTTGTTATGCTGCAACTGTAACAAAATGGCGAACGATGCATTCGGTATTTTCAATTGTAGTTTCTGAAATGGATGCAAGTTTAAAACCAGTTTTCCAACAGAACAGAGTTATAGTCTCTCTTTGTGCACAATCCTCTGGTACTAATTCACAACTAAGATTGGCTTGGAACTTGGGTACCTTTTGGCAAAGGGTTAAGTGAGAGGTTAAGGAGATTTAACCCCTTCTTAACCCGCCAAACATAAAAAATCTATACAATGGTTAAAGTGAGTTAACCTTCCTTAATTTGCCAAACATAAGAAATATAGAAGGGTTAAGCTAACCCCTCTAGAGGGATTAAAATGAGTTAACCCCTCAAAACGAGGGGTTTATTAATACTCCTATTTCAAAGGATTAAGAGTTAACCCTTCTAATTATAAAGAAAATAGTCAAAATCATTGTTATTCCCAAACACTAAAATTGATCACAAGGGCTAAAATAAAACTTATTTAATGAATTAATAATTTAGTCCTTCAGATTATCGAATGGGCTAAGTACATTAATCCTTCTCTTTAACCCCTCTTCCTTAACCCTTTGCCAAACGAGGCCTTAAATTAGAAAAGAAGATCAAGAGACCAGAAAAATGTTAAGATCTCTAAAAAGTGAAAGAGTGATTGGCAAGGTGAGAGTGAATTTGAAAGTCTGAAAATCACTTGCTTACATAAGTATGAAAAATAAATCAACGTTGACATGTAGGTGAAATACAATGTTTGTTTATAAATAAATTATATTTGCAGTAGAAAAAGAAAGTTTGCTGCGTTAAATACTATATCTATTTATTTATTTATAATCATACAATTTTTTATAGATAATTGATAATGTGACACAAAATTTCCTGCCCCCTGAAGGGATTTTGTTAAGAAAAAGGGATATTTGCATAAATGTGCCCCTTAAATCATGGGTATTTGCAAAAATAAAGTATCTGCAAAACCACTCTTTAACTAATCAACTTTGTGAAACAATGCTCCCTAAAATTATCAAACCAGCAATTTGGTGCTAAAATTTTGACTATTCTTTTGATTTTTTTAACATTGCGACTACAAACTAGCTTATCAAAGATGGTGATTAATTGTCTTGAGGGTTTTTTTTTCTTTTAAAATTGACGATTTGACGGGTAGTTTTGTAATAACCGAGATTTGGAGTATTTATTTTATTTTATTTTATTTGTTGGGGTTGGGGGGATTATACAGTCATGCTGGCATATAATTATGAAGCTCTTTCAAGTCACCTTTTAATTATAAAATAATATTGTTTGCCTAATTTCAATTTCTCTCCCAGTAAATAATCTATTGATATACTGCCTTCAGAAAATATATTTTCCACTAATTTGTTGATAGTGGCAAATACATACTGAGGGATGCAGATTATCGTAACAAAATCAATGCCATCACGATCTATATGTATGCATGTGTCTAATAACTGTTCAAACCTCTGTTACTTATTTATACTAGGATATAAGTTACAAGTTGCAGTTCAAACTAACTTCGTAAAATTTTACGTTCAGGTGGGATTAGGATCTAAACTTTGTAAAACTTTCTTTTAAATTCTAACAGAAATTCATTTTTTCAAAACATAGCAGGGCACTTGAATGAGTTCAAAAGCTTAATTAATCAACTAGCACTACCACATATTTAATCTAATGCAACAGTTCTAGCGCAACGCTTATGACCTTTGCGCTAGGTGTCTATGGGGGTGGTTTTGCAACGCTTTTAACCGCGACCAAAGGCTTAAGACAACGCTTTACAAAAACTGCTTCGCTAGGCCCAATAATTGTGCTTTGGGCCGATTTTATAGGTAGGTCTGGGCTTTAACTGAACATGTCACCGCTTAAACTAATATCTCTCTCTCAAATCGTCACCCCTTTCTAAAAACTCTACCTCCTTTCTAATATTCGCTCCCAAAAGATCGCCATGGCCGAAATCATCTCTAGTCGTCGATCTCATCGCTGAACTCGTCGCCATTCTCTTTGTCGTTTTCCGATCTCATCGTCTCCGATCTCAACTCTGATTTCGTCTTCGAGCTCGTAGCTAATCTCGTCGTCGAGCTGCTGGTCTCCCAAAAGATCGCCATGACCGAAATCATCTCTAGTCGTTGATCTCATCGCTGAACTCGTCGCCATTCTCTTCGCCGTTTTCCTATCTCATCGTCTTCGATCTCAACTCCGATTTCGTCGTCGAGCTCGTAGCTAATCTCGTCGTCGAGCTGCTGGTCTCGTCTCCGATCTCATCTCCGATATCGTCGTCGAGCTCGAAGCTAATCCCAATCTGGTCTCCAATCTTGTTCGTGTGTTCTTCCTCATCGGTCTCATCGCTATCACTCTCCTTTCGACTCTCAAGTACCTCTCCTTTCCTTTCTGATTTCTACAGTTTCTTCCCCTTTCTATCTTTAAAAATATCCTCTTCATTTTTAGGTGTTGCGGATAATCTTGATTGCTACATTAATCGATCCGTAGCTCTAGGTCGATCCCTGAGGTTAGATTCCTCAACATAAAAGCTATTTCTTCTCAAAAAAATTGGATTTATTTGTTGTCTCTTGGAAGCATGTTTTATTTTACTTGTTAATTTGTGATTGTGAACTCACTGATATCTTGATGTGTGAAAATCAGAACTAATGTGTGAAACTATTTATCTCCATTGATGATTTTTTTGGTGCAAATGAATGCGTTTATTTTTCTTTCATTGGTTTCAAGATAATATTTTTGGTTTAATGCTACTAGAATTTGGATGTAATTTAAAGTGGAATATAGTGAAATCATGTTATTAACAGATGTTTCGACAAAGCTACAGCTGAGGTCTTGAGGAGTTTCTTTCCATGTCACTAAGCCTTTCTACAATATTAGTATACAGGTATATTAGCTGACATTGATTAACTAACACAGCTTGATTAACTAACACAACTTTTATTGGAGAAAATTCTAAGAAATATTATGTAGTGCTTGCTGATCAGAAGTTTAGATCACCTTAATCACATCTTGCTACACACTAATTACCTCTTAATTAATCAACTCAGATGACTTAACAGATGATGTCTTTCTATTTCACATGACTAATGAAATAAGTTGCAGAATACTTCCACAACTGTTATTAGTGGTTGTGGTTGAAGTTTCACCAATGCCTATTTCATGGTTGTGATATAAATGGCTCTATAGGCTTACATCAGGCTCGTGTCCGCAACGATCAGATACTATATTGGATCTTCGAAATGCAAATTTCCTCTTGATTCATACAAAATAACAATAACGATTACAACAAAAGACATGGAGAAACATACATTAGACCTGAAAATTGCTCCATTTGCATTCTCTTCACTGAGTTTGATAGCGTAAAAATCATGCCAATGACAAGCTGAATAAAACTTATGAAAGCATTAAACACTTTGTTCTCCGCCTTTTCTCTCATTCGATTATCTTCTTTGAGGGTCTTGGCTAAGGCCATGTTTCCTCAGGGTTTGGATATAGTTTCTCATCAGAGTAAATTTCAAGGAGCACAGATCTTAACAGTAACCCAAGTGTAAATCTCAGTCTTATGCACTGCAAGTCATCAAAATCTATCCTGGAAAATGAAAAGTAAGGTTGTGGTAGAGGATAATGCATATAACAGAAAAGAGAAGTTGTTTTGCTTAACATTTGCTTACCTTACTCCATAGATACCTACTTGTGTTGCTAACATGATTATGGAAATTAATCTGATCAGCTATGAAAATGAAATAGTTTGATCAACATCGCATTGCATTTGTGAAATTATTTAGTTACACAAATAAGATGGACTCCAGTACACACAAATATAAACACATTTCCCATATTTAAAAGTACATGAACGAGGTATAGAGGCACGTCCAGTTATAATTTTAGACAAATTTGGGGTACCTATTGGACCGACATATAATATCTTAAATGAACTTAGTTATTTTTTTGGGTACCCTTGAAAGAAATCCAAGACGAACACCTCTAGATAAGAATTGGCACGACATTAGGAAAGAAAGACAAAGATAGTTTGTGGGAATATGTGAAGGTATGATATAGCACAAAAAAATCATTTTGTGTAATGACAAGGTAGATTTTAACTTGTTTATTGTTATGTCATTGAAGGAGAAGTCTTCAATCGCCGATTCAGGACGAAAATGGACCTTGCAAACAATTAATAGTGTATGGAGGCGGTGGAAGTGCTTGCTGAAACGTCAATGCTTTACTGGTTTGAAAAATGATGTGGAAAGATGGAAAAGAGCCCCAAGACTGTTCCCAAGGGTCAATTTAGAGCTTTAGTAAAGATTTGGCATTCTCAAAATGCAAGGGTAAGAATTTAATTTTCTATTAATATCATTGCCTTCATTTGATGTCGTATCCTACTGTAAAGGTTAGGGTTTTGCTTCTGTTGTTTCTTTATTTGATGGAGGTTCTGCTTTTTTGGGGATTTTTGGTTCTGTTGTTTCTCTTGTTGTTTCTTTACAAACACGCAAGAGTTGAAGGCAAGTACCCTTTAATCATATTGACAAAGTATATAGCTTGACAAAATATATGTACTTGGATTTGTGATCATATTGACTGGCAGTAAACGGTACAATAACAAAGGATTAATTGATTTTTTTTTTACTACGAATCAGATGCCGATTATTTGTCATATACTAATTTTTTTACTTTAATATTTGGCAACTTTCAGGATAAAGGTTCATCTTTAAGTGCTGAAGGAAATAATTGATCAACAAGTGCTGATTATATCCTAAGCATGCCAGCTCCCGTGACAATACAAGCAAGGATCATTGTCATTAATCAGGCAAGTTTTGTAAACCCAGAATACAATAAAATTGATGAAAGAGCATTTTCGACATCATGTTTGTGGTCTTAGTGCTTTACTGTAACATGTGTTATTTTGTGTTGTCAGGCTTGCATATTTTCAATTTCTGTACACACGCACACACATGTGATGTATGTATATATTCACATGTGTCCATGTGTGTCTGGTGCGCGTTTATAAATCTTACTTTATTCTCATAGTTATAAAAAAATCGAAAAAGAAGTATCTCCATCATCACAGTACAGAGTATATATGCAAATAAAGTCTAGGACATAACTCAACAAATCATAAAAGGAAGTAAACAACAATGCAAGGACATACACGACGACAACCACCACAATTTCAAACCACGAAGTGTTCTTTTAACATTGTTCTCTACATACACCTGTGTATCAAGGCTTCCACGGCTTTATATGAATCTATAATGTGGACCAATAATATTATCCTTTTATGCAGATCACACAATGATAAATTTAATAATGAGTAACAAATACCATGCACGGAGTCCACATAAATAAGTGATGTTATCGGTCAATCAGAAGGCTTTAGAATTTGTCACATTATATTTCTATATATATATATAAGAGTGACACCAATTGAAATCCTTAGTTATTTTATTTCATCTTTCCTCTCAATCTTCAGCTCTTCTTCTTATATTATTTTTTTTTTCTTGCAGAAAGAAAGTGATTAGGATTTGTTCAAAGACTAAGATAGAGGTAATGATTTTAGAAGGATGCTAAACATAGGGAGGAAGTTAACGGTTGTTTTTCTGTTTCTTTTGTTGGATGGTTAGGAGTAGAATATTACTTCTTTTTTTTTTAATTTGTTTGCAATATATTTTTTCCCAAATTTTTTATTATCATAATTGCAAAAATTATGCTGATTCATGGAAATCTACACAGATACAGAAATGACGAAAGCCAAGATTGAGATTGATACTGACAGGTTCCTAGTGAGTATTTGACATTGAGGCACAAGTTTTTGGCCAAGATTGAGATTGATACTGACAGGTTCCTAGTGAGTATTTGACATTGAGGCACAAGTTTTTGGAAACAAATAGAGAATATAAAGTAGGCACAAGTTTTTGGAAACAAATAGAGAATATAAAGTCTTTGACCGAGAAGTTTCATGTTTTGTAATCACATGTTGTTAGTTCGGTATGATATTTTTCGAGTTGAAATGTTGATAGTATGGATTTAATACTTTGTAGTTTTTATACTATATTGATGAATGTTGGCACTTATCGTTATGATTGATTATGCTCAACATTTTCACTTTGATATTGTGTATTAAATTGACTTGGCCATGTTCTTAGAAAGATTATCCAGGTAATTGAATACTATATGATTTTGACGTAGGGAACCAAGCACAGCTCAATCGGAGTTGCTGCAATAGCTCAATCACAACCGCTGCAATAGCTCGATCAAAACTATTGCGATAGCTCAATCCAAACCGTTGTGTTAGGTCTTTTAAAACCATTGCAATAGCTTCAAAACCGCTGCAATAACTTAAAAACCGTTGCAATAGCTCAATCGAAACCGTTTCTTTAGCTCTTTTAAAACCGTTGCAATAGCTCCAACTGTTAAAACAGCTCAATCGGAGTTGCTGCAATAGCTCAATCACAACCGCTGCAATAGCTCGATCAAAACTATTGCGATAGCTCAATCCAAACCGTTGTGTTAGGTCTTTTAAAACCATTGCAATAGCTTCAAAACCGCTGCAATAACTTAAAAACCGTTGCAATAGCTCAATCGAAACCGTTTCTTTAGCTCTTTTAAAACCGTTGCAATAGCTCCAACTGTTAAAACCGTTGCGTTAGATGCAGGGGCAACGGTTCAAGAAACCATCGTAATAGAGTTCAAAACCGTTATGGTAGAGGTAGGACAACAACAACATATAAGACAGTTTGAGAACCATCGCACTTGCTCAAGGGCGACGGTTCCATGGCTAGCAATACGGTTTGGAACCATTGCATTAGATTAAATATGTGGTAGTGTAGCTACCATGAAGATGACTAACGACAATGAATTACAGATTTTATTGTTATTAGATTTTTTTGCCAGACAGTTGGGAGATACTGGTCGGTCAGCAACGCAGCTTCAGATGGTGTGTTGTCGATGAATATAGTTATTGGTAGTTTATTCAGTGAGGAGACCAGGATGTGTTGGCCTTCTTGTTTTGATGATGTTTAACAAACAATTTATTACTAATGTTGTTTGTCTAGTGTTTGTGTTTTCGTATTTATTCTAGGCAAACAACGAGTTGGAGGATGGATGGAATAGAGCTTCAACGATCATATCCAAAGGAGGTTGGCGGAATGTCGGTGAAGCCTTGCTATTCAAAGTTCAAGATCCAAGTTAAAGCTTCATCCGAGAGATTACCTAGAAGAGCTTATTGAAGATCAAGATCTAGCTTGGGTAATTTAGTTTAGGGTTTATATTATGTGTGTTTAATACGTTAAGCTCAATATCTATACACACACATTATATCGGTTTTCATATATATATATAGTGATATATATATATATATACATATGTTTTTGGTTTTATAGTTTTCGAGTTTATATATGAAACAAATGCATAGAGTTGAAAATACTATTTTGTTTCATGTTTATATGCCTATATATGATTTCACCTTTAACAAGCTTATATTTAATGAAATCATTTTTAGTGTTTTGAATATATTGCATAGAATATGCAATTTTATGAAAATATTGTCTTTCTAGGTTATAGACTTCATAACAACATGTTATATCTCTTATCAAGTCTATACAATCATTTCATACGGTTTCAAAATGTTGTTTAAGTCAAAATATCAAAATATCAATTTTCAGGTTTTCATGTTTTGAACTATTTTGTAAAATGATCATATTTTTCATTTGGGAAGTCCTTTTTCGAAACCAGTCATTGTAGCATGTTTATTATCATGTCTACAATCATTCCCCAAAGTTTTATATTTTTTGGAATTTATTTGATATTTTTAAACAGCATTTTAAAATCAGGTTTTTTGAGTGTCAGTTTTCGGTCGACCGGATCGGTCGACCGAACCTGGGGTCTAAAGTTCTCTGGGCGACAGAAGCCTGTCGGTCGACCGGTACGGTCGACCGATGAAAATATTCGGTCGACCGACGAAACTTTCGGTCGACCGACGCCGTCCAGTTCAGCTTCCAACGGCTAGTCTTTTGACCGTTGCCTTGGGGTTGTGTTTTGTCTTTTACTCAGGTTTTTGGCTGAGTTGAGAGAGGGTATAAGTACCCCATTGCCTTCAACTCTCAAACCAACCAAGAGAGTTTTAAAAACAAGTTTAAGAAAGTTTTAATCAAGGGTTTATGTTTGGTTTAAGTGTGTTTATAAGCTTTTAAGCATTTGAGTGTTTTTGGTTTTGTGAATCACTTCCACAAGAGCTTGAGGAGATCATCTATTGGTGTTTGAGCATCCAACTCTTCTCCTTCCACTCTTGATCTATTGAGAAGTTTTCTAAACTCAATCTAGCTTCATATTTTATATTGTTTGATTATCTTTTTATTAAGCTAGTGTTCATATTGAGTTTAGTTGATTTTATTATCTCTTTGTTCACACACAACCTATTGAGCTTATTGTATTTACATTCATAGTATAATTTAGGGTTGTGGGTTTGTGGCTAAGAGTTGTGCCTAATTGAGTTCTCACCTTGTTAGAGAGAACAATCATTTATTTATATTGTGCTTATTGTGAGGATTCACTTGTAATACCCTTGTACACCGAGAGAAGTGTGTGGTGAGAGACGGGGTCGAATCCAAGAGGAGTGGCGTCGGTTGACGTGCCTAGGAAGAGGTTGTAACCGAGCACTTGAGGAGGAGGACACGGGCTAGGACCAACACTTAGTGTGTGAGGTGTGATTACATAGTGATTGTATTGTGAGGTGTAAACGTTGTTCGGGTGAACGTAGAAAACCCGGTTGTGATAGTGGAGATCTCCTCGAGGTGAGGAGCGGGGACGTAGGTCGTGGGGACCGAACCTCGTAAACATATCGTTTTGTTTGTGATTGCATTGGCGTTCTTATTCTTGTTTTCATATCTTATATCGCCTTTGTGTATTGCTCATCATATTACCCTATCACTTGTGTAGATTGTTTATTTTACCCTTGTTCCCTATATTTGCTTTGTACTCACCCATGCTTATTGATAGGGGGAGCTTTCGCTCTCTTATTCTTTTTGTCCCCTTTTTGATGTTGTCAAAGGGGGAGAAATATTGTGAGTATATTCTTTCTTGTTTATATGCATGTGAATTATAAATTATATATTTATTTTCTTCATGCATATATTTCTTTTTGTAAATTGTTTGTCATCATCAAAAAGGGGGAGATTGTTGGCCTTCTTGTTTTGATGATGTTTAACAAACAATTTACCACTAATGTTGTTTGTCTAGTATTTGTGTTTTCTTATTTATTATAGACAAACAACGTTGTTGGAGGTTGGATGGATTGAGCCTACACGATCATATCAAGAGGAGGTTGGCGGAATAGTGGAGTGAAGTATTGCATTCAAGTTCAAGATCCAAGTTTTAGCTTCATCCGCAAGTGTACCAAGATAGAGCTTCGTTGAAGATCACAAGCTTGGGTATATTTAGTTTAGGTTTTTATACTTGTGTGTTGATACTTTAAGCTCATATTATTCACACACACGTATTTGTTGATTTTATCAAAATATAGGTGTTTTTGTGAAAACATTATTTTATTAGTTTATAGACTTTAATATCAGTTTATACATAGTTTATAAAGTTTATAAAATCATTTTGTAGAGTTTCAAAAGTTTGTTTAAATCAAATGTCAAAACATGTATGTTTCGTTTTCATGTTTTTGGACATATTTGAAAAATGATGGGTTTTCACTATTGGGGAATGCAATTCCAAAAATTCTTTTTGTAACATGTTTATTATCATGTTTATAAACATTTTCCAAAGTTTCATAATTTTTGGAATTTATTTGTTATTTTTAAAGGCACTTTAAAAATCAGTTTTCCAGCATGAACAGTGCCTGTGCATGTTTATAAGTCGACTTATAAACCCTGACAAGTCGACTTATGAACTCCTCTAGAAAGTGCATTTTCTCCTCTGCTAAGTCGACTTATAAAGCAAGGCAAGTCGACTTATATAAGTCGACTTATAACTTTTTATAAGTCTACTTATGAAGTGTTGCACAGTTATGTATTTTTGACCAGTTTACAAAATAAATTATTTCTCTCAAATGGGAAGTGATATTTGAGAAATTCCTTCTCTAACATGTTCATATACACGTTTAGAAGCTTCCCTAAAAATTTTATAATTTTTGGAGTTAATTTACTGTGTCAAATTGATTTTAGAAAATCGGGTGTTTCAGCAGTTTTTAGAATCTGAAATATCTGTATTCAAATATTCATTTCTCACAAATGAGAAGTGATATTTCAGAAATTATTTTTGTAAAATGTTTATTTACATGTTTAGAAACATCCCTCAAAATTTCATAATGTTTAGAGTTGATTTACTATTTTTAACTGATTTTACAAATCTAGATACGCATAATTTTCAGCATCTGCCAAAAACTGTATATGTCATAAGTCGACTCTAAGTCGACTTATCAGAGAGCCGTTGCACAGTAACGGCTAGTTTTCTGTTTTGTTTGTTTTTGGGTTTTTGGTCATTTCCTTGGGGTTTTGGCTGATGTCTTGGGTTGTTATAAATACCCCATTGCATTTACCTCTCCCATCTAACAAGAACAATAAGAGAAAAGTTTTTAAGAAGTTTACAAGTTTTGTTCAAGGGTTTATGTTTGGTTTAAGTGTGTTTATAAGCTTTTAAGCATTTGAGTGTTTTGGTTTTGTGAATCACTTCCACAAGAGCTTGAGGAGATCATCTATTGGTGTTTGAGCATCCAACTCTTCTCCTTCCACTCTTGATCTATTGAGAAGTTTTCTAAACTCAATCTAGCTTCATATTTTATATTGTTTGATTATCTTTTTATTAAGCTAGTGTTCATATTGAGTTTAGTTGATTTTATTATCTCTTTGTTCACACACAACCTATTGAGCTTATTGTATTTACATTCATAGTATAATTT